CAACCCACCCACCCACCAACCAACCAACCTACTCGCCAATCAACCAACCAACCAACCAACAAGACAGACAAAAATTAAGCAAACAAAGCATGGGTGGTCTTCAATGTGTTCTACTGAGTTCTCTGCCAAAAAATCAACTTATAAATTCTAATAAAATCTATATATTTTATAGATCTATAGATATTCTCACGACAGGGTTCATCCCATATTCTATTTAACACTATGATGCAAATAAATTGTTCTTTATTATTATTTTTTATCATTATTAACTATAAAATGTAACAATAGACAAAGTGGAGGTCATTTCGAGAATGACACATACAACCTACAACTTTACAATTCAACACTTAATTTTAACATACACTGTAAACTAGAGTACAGGAAATTCCATCTTTAAATCTTTATTTTTCTTAAACATTTTGAACCTTTTTGTTGCAAAGTTTTCTGAAAATATATGCTTTTTTATAGAATTTCCAAGTCACATGGAATTGAGCTTCAGGTATTGAGAAGAGAACAATAAATCAAATGGTTTTACTTAGTTTCCCTTTTCTTACATTTACTCCCTCCTTTGAGAATGCAAACAATATTTTCACACCACGCAGTCAGTCCTATAGATTATGTTTCTTCACTCGTGGTAACTATAAATTTCGAATTGTACTTGAGATTGTAAGATTTCCTATACAAACATTTTATACAAAGGTATAAGTTAAATACAATGGTGTAAACCTTTAGCTTATATTTATACTATTTTTTTTCAACAGACTGCTGATGATCATGCTTTTGGCAATTGTAGAAAACGGAATGAGCAAAATCAATGTTATGAAAAAAAATTGCCAAATTTATGTTCATAACAATATTTGAAATATATGTCAACTTTAAAACAGACTTTTTTAAATTCATAAGATATATGAGCCACTCAAGAAATTAAAAATTACTCTTGGGAATGACACAGATAAATGGGAAAACATTGCACCAAAGCTACGAGGATTAATTAAAGATTTTTCGCTATAATTTAGACAAGCAAAATATTTTAATTTTACTTATTTTTTTCACCTCAATTAGGCAGCAGTACGTTATTGTTCAAGTCAGTCTGATTTAGTGTGCCTTAGCTCTCCAGTCCTCATCATTCTCTTCAATATGATTTCTCTTGGAGTGACCTTCATATCGTACACCCAGCCAATTCGAGCACAAAAATTGATCACTCGTGTTGTAAAATTTACTTTTGTACCAAACTCACTAGTTGCGTAATCCTGTGGGAATGTGTGATGATAGTTATGGAAACCTTCACCACCAGCTAATGCGCTTACCAACATGTTTTCAGAAGGATTGATGTTGACATCATAGGGTTTGTTACCAAACATATGAGCAAGGCTGTTGACGCACCACGTGACATTGAGAGTGAAGACGTATCTTAAAGCAAAAGCAGTGAAGTAGGACAGCCACAGACTCTCCCCCCAAAGGTAGGGTACAATTGTAGGGATTACCACACATGCTATCAGGGATATCAATTTGTAATGTCTGCAAAAAAAGCATTGATATATTTAGAAGAGATAACTAGCTAAAATGTTGTGTGAGCTGCATCAGCGTTTCTAATGGAATAGTAATGATAAAAGAGTAAATTTTACACTGTGAAAAAATGAAAAAACACTTCGGACGCTAGTCCTTCATCGCAGTAAAAGAGAGAGAGGTGGTAGAAAGAAGAGTTTATACTATACATCTATGAACAAGACAAAGAAACCAATGAAAACATTGAGAACTCTTTTACTCTAGCGAAGGACTAGCGTCCGAAACGACAGTGCTTTTTTATCTTTTCATGGTGTAAAATTTACCCTTTTATCGTTATTGATATATTTAGTTTGTTGGGTTTTTATAGAGAAGGGAAAAAATCCAGAGAAGCTGGAAAAAAACTTTTCTCAAGGAAGAGAACCAACAAGTTTTGTTCAAGTCGTACTGCTATAAGTGCAGGAATTGAGCCTTTGAAGACCACAGAGGGCTAGCACTCATATGGTTGGTACAACCTTGGCAAGGAAAATTTAAGTACTTTTCAAGGATAAAAGTCTATTTTTCAAGGATAACTTAATGCAAGTGAGCTAATACTCCCCTCAAAATGTAGCCACCTCTTTCCCTTTCAGTGATCTTACTCTGAAACTGGGTATGAATTTCAGCAATTTTACTCTGGAACAAGGTCAAGGTTCAAAGGGCTCAGCAGCACATATGTTGACATTAAACAGGCATGAGTACCCCATTCAGGGGGGGGGATAGTGACTATTTTGTCCCCTTAGAAAGCCCCACATTTGCACTGCATTACAGACTTTACCCAGCTTTCTCCTCAACCTTGGAAAGGCTAAAAATTAAATATCTTAGTAACTGAAGCCCTTCATTATAAGTTAATTAATACCTTCTTTGAAACATGACTATTTCATCAGCATACAGATCACTCAAATCAATTCCTTTTCCTTTGGTGATGACATCAGGATGCTTTCGTTGAAGCAGCCAGCCAACATGTGAAAAAAACAAACCCCTTTTGGCATTGTGTGGGTCGCCGTCAGTCTCAGAGTACTTGTGATGGACACGATGATCTCGGGACCACTCAAAGATGTCATTTTGTGCAGCCATACTATTAGATACCATGAGAATCAATCTTAGGGGCCACTTGGCCTTGTAGGAACGATGAGCCCATAGTCTATGAGCTCCCATGGTGATACCTAAGCCGCCAAAATGATGACACAGGATCACCCACAACATCGTCAGGATTTTAAGTCTTGGAAAGAGAACAATGCCATAGAGTGCCATCAAGTGGAGGAGAATCATGAATACCACGTTAATCCAGACAATCTGTCGTTTGAATGGCTTTTTCTCTGGCTGTTGGTCATTTTTGCCAGGAGTGGTAGCATGGTTCTCTTGTTGAGTGGTTTGTTTGGAGTCACAAGGTGCCATGATTTGAACCTGCAATGAAATATGAAATAAGTAAGGCCATATGTTACAGTGGTAGATTCTACCAAGTGAATAGGCCTTCAAATAAAGACACAAGCCAGCTGAGCAGTGAACGTGGTGCACAAAGCATGAGTGGACAAAAAGACCACCCCTAAGCATTTTTGGAGCTTGAAAAAACTGTTTTTATTCTTTCTTTCCATATTTCTGCTTCTTGTAGGCAGGTATGTTGAAGAAATGGAAATGCAGCCTGTACTAGTTTTAAAGCAGGTGGGGATTGGCAGAACACAAGGAAGTGTTTGAAGAAGCACGACATGTAGCAGAGTGCTTCTGGAAACTTCTCAAGTGTTCTGCCAATCCCCAAGAGCTTTATGACTCCACACAGCACAGCAAGCAAGTTTTTTATTTCTTTTATAAAATACAAATTTACACTAACTGTAATATTCAGTATAGACATGAGAAATGACACAACTAAAAATGCACGTGCTTGCTGTGTGTGCTCTCATAAAGCACACACTCTCAACCAATCAGAAATCATTTTATAACAGTTATTTCGTAATACAGTGGAATCCTGTTAATAAGGACACCCTTGGGACGGACAAAACTGTGCTTATTAACAGGGTGTCCCTATTAACCGAGGTTTCAGAAAAACAACACTGTACTGTAAACTTGAACTACAATGGTCGATATAACAGTCTAAACTGGAACAAAAAGCACAATACTGTACAAGCACGACATCATTTCTGTACTATACTGTACTATGCTGTATAATTTCATTTAAAGAAATCTGTGTTTTTTTTTGAACAGAGTTCAAAATACTGGGATTGAACCAAACTAATTGAACATCGCTTAAAATCCTGCTAAAATTGAGCACTGTCTATTTCATTATGCTGTAATAGGAAACTATACTGCAATGATCAGTGTGTGGTCCGTTGATATGCAAAAACTGACAATATAATCTGTAATATATGCTCATTATATCAATAAACAAATACAGTAAAGACGTCTTCAAATTTCAAGTGTCCTTAATGCGGGGTTGATTATGTATGGAAACTGTCATTCAGGTCCTAGAAATGTGTCCTTTGTACTTATTAACGGGTGTCCTTATAAAGCGGGTTAATTTAACAGAAAATGAATGGAGATTTCGTTGGGACTTTGAAACCTGTCCTTTATAATAACGAGATGTCCTTATTAAGTGGGTGTCCTTAGAGCGGGGTTCCACTTTATATACTTTAGTCCACAAAAAAAAAAAGAATATGCTAAAGTTGGGTTACAGTAGCCTGGGAATGAGAACCAGCGGCAAAACACAGCTAAATGCACTGCAGTTGGCTGGAAAAATTCACTGCTCAGCTGGAGAGCTATGAACTTGTGACAAATGACAGACTGCTTTAATGCTATTGCCAACAGCGAGGGTACTATCATAATGTCTTCGTTCAATAACACCATCAATATCAGCTGAAACCTTTTTTCTTTCAGACAATATATTAATAATACTAGCTATGATGGGGAAAAAGCTGTTTGTTTATTCAATATTTTAAGCTTTTGAATGAAAAACTAACCACTGTTCTCTCAAATTTTATCTCTGAAATACGAAATTAACCTTTTTTTTAACCTTTAGAACCAATAAATTGTTTTTAGTGAATGGCTATGGAAGGCATATTTGGGAGTCGTAATAAGCTTTACACATCAAATTATATCGTAAAATTACGATTTGCACATTAGTCAACGACACGGTAACTAATATATTTTTTCAATCTATTAAAAATTGGAATATTTTCAAAGATATAGATCTAAATTTGCATTTTTAACTTCGGTTAACCATTTTACTACGACGTGTTATTAAAACGTCGTAACAAGAAAATTGGCCTAATTTTTGGAGAAGTGGAAGGAAATCTTTGCACTTAAATTCCTTTAATCGTTTATTAAACTTTAAAGATCTATGAGAAGCAATCTTTGGCAAAAGAAATTATATAATAGATTCCCGGGTTTTGTACAAATATTTTGAAGACAAGCGAATGCGTATAAAAAGTAGTCATAATTAATTCGTAAATAGCGAACTATCTTCTTACCTTTTGCAGTAAATGCTCCTAAACCCTTCTAGAGACCACGAAGAACTTCTTTTGAGTGAAAAAAGACGTTAAACAAAGGCGATCGAAGTCACTCCCAGCTTCAAAATGAAGAGTCTTCTTAATCCATATTTTTTATACTTCAGTTGCTTCGAGCATTCAAGGTTACCGGAAGTCGTACTATAAGAGCAGTCTGTAGTAAGTATGGTTAGGAGAATTTAGATCCATCGTCGAAACGTTTTTCAAAACTCTCGATAAACATAGTCTAAAGTCAACTAGTTTTTAGTCTAATTTCCAAGTTTTGATATCTAAATTAATATGTAAGAAACAAGATTTAAATTGTAAAATAAAAAAAAGATTAATTTGATATTTACTTTGTAGAGGATTGAATTTCTCTATAGTTTGAGTAAAAGTCACGCTTATGAGTTGATTCATCCATGTATGTGATTGGTTTATCATGATGCGGTATAGGATATGGTGTGACACTTAAACCAATCAGAATCCTCAATGAAAACCCCCAAAAACTGAAACGTCACATGTACAAAAAACTTTAACTGTCAAAGTCGATATTTACATGCATCACGTTTTGTTTTCCGATTTTTTTTCTGCCTATGAGTGAAGAAAAACATTGTACGTATGTCGTATAAATTCTAAATATAGGAATTTCATCACTCATATTTATTATTCTTAAACTTTCCGTGAGCTTCACATGTCTTTGAAATTCGTTTTTTTAAAAAGATTCTTATTAATCATTTATGTTTTTTTGGTTCCAGACGGTTGGTAAGAAAGGCCATTTTGTAAGCTGTCAAATCGAATAATATCGTCTGTGAAAAGAAAGAGAGATAAAGGAAACGAAAACAAAAAAGGATGAAGAAAAGAATAGACTACTAGAAGAAAAAATGTTTTTGAAAAATTCCTTCATGAGCGATAAAAAAATTAGAGTCAAAAGTTAAATCAATGGAGTTATCTTACTTGGCCTTGAAATAATTTATGTCGTCGTATACTAATGAATAAATATGATGTGATGATTTGACGATTTTTGGCGATAGGATGTTGAGCACGTGAAAAGTCGATGTGTGACACGCCACATGCAACGATTAGTCCATTCAACTAAAAACGTTCAACCCGAGAAGACATATTTTATTTAACAGCAAATAAAGTTTATAGAACAAATCTTTAGACAACCTTATACAGTAGTTTAAGAACACCAAGCAACATGATTGATTTCTATATATCCTGCTTCTACGATAAACAGGATGCATTATGGTATAGCTTGGGTACGAACAACCATATAAGGTAGGATGAAAAACTAAAAATATTTGTACCCAAACTGGACCACAATGCACCACAAAACATCCAGTGAAAGATTTCGTTTATACATCGCAATCTTTTCTATGAGAAAAATGGATGCATTGCATTGTGGGATAACCTGAGTACAAACATCATATAAGGTATGACGAGAAAAACTACTTGTACCCAAGCCAGACCACAATGCGTTACATTTTCTATGGATCGAAGCGCCTCCTATTCAAGCGTTTCAGTAGAGGAGTGTTCTCTATCTGTATGGTTGGTATGCGGTGATAATACACCATCTATCACCACGGTCCGACCTGATTTGATTCCTGGACCCGCTCTCCCAAAAGGCGATTTTCTGCAACTTGTCTCGCAACGACATTGCGACAGAAGTTGCATGGAGCATTGTAACAGCGCCATTTGAAAAATGTTAGACACCAGTTGCAAGTTGGGGGTAGACTAACCGAAGACGAACCAACCAACCAATCAACGATCAATCAGAAGAACCAACCAATCAACGATCAATCAGAAGAACCAACCAACCAATAAACGATCAATCAGACGAACCAACCAATCAACGATCAATCAGACGAACCAACCAATCAATGATCAATCAGACGAACCAACCAACCAACCAACGACCCAATAATGCGAATAAATTAGTTGTCATTATTATTATTATTATTATTTTACTACTAACTCCAAAATTTAACTATTTGATTTATTGGAGGATGTTTTGAGAATAACACATAAATTCTATTATAATTTAAACTAGGATACAGGAAGCTTTTCATCATGAATTCTCAGGCTCAACATTTTAAACTTTTTTATTGCAAACGTTTCCAAAAATACATACTTTTTTATAGAATTTCCAAAAAATATAATTCAGCCATAGCCACCTAGCAACATGGAAATATACTACAGGTAGAAGAGGAAAATTTATTAAATCATTTTTACTTTATTTTTTAATTTGTTACATCTAATGATCAATCCTCAGATCAATCCTGAGAATAAATGAATAGAATGAATGAATAGAATAAATGAACCTATAGGTAATGTTTAAAAGTCATTTTATACAAAAGTATAGATACAATATTTTTAGCGGCCCTCTCTTTCCTTATATATAAAACAAATTGGGCCCTCCCCTAAACACTTGCACAATTTTTTCTGGCCCTCCCCTCCCCCCATAACTTAGGCTGACCTTGTTTTTAACATAGCAGTAGCCGAGTTGCACGTCTTCCCTTCTTCTTGTCACAGTAGTTGTCATTCTACTATCAAACTCTTCTGCGTCATAATTCATTTTTTTACATTTCTTTTGACCTAATTGTTATGCATAAAAAAGTTTGGCTTCCCTTAAGACTTGCACAATTCTTTCTCGCCCTCCCTTTTAGCCTGCATGAAAAATAATGACCCTCACCCCCATTTGCACCAGCCCTCCCCCCCTTTAATTTTTGACCTGTCCCTAATTGCTTTATATTTACTTTCTATTTCAAATGACCTTTGGTCTTGGAATGCAGTATTCAGTATTCAACCTTTTTTTAAATAGCTGTAAACATTTGTCTCTTACGATAGATTGGTGAGGCTCGACCCCTTCTCATTGTAGAAAACACGATGAAGAAAATCAATTTTATGAAGAAATTGCAAAATACATGTTTACAACAATATCTGCAACATGTCAACTTTACTGTGTAGACACAAGAGCCATTCAAATGATCACTTCAGAAGCCAGATTCTTACGGACGCTCCAAAATGTTTTCGTTCGATTCCAGCTAGAGTCCCTTGTGTTGTTGTTGCCGTTAAAGTTTGATTTTATAACAGCTACTTCGTCAATGAACGATATTTTTATCCCCCCCCCCCTGTATTTTATTGAAAGTTTGCGCTTTGTGCCACAGTTTTGCATACTACCACATTTAGCTGTTCATTAGTTCACACGGAGTGAGCAAAAAATTAAATATCTAAAGATTTTCCGCCCGCTTGTTGTGATTGGATGGCGCTAAAAATGCTTGATTCCTTTGTTTCTATAGAGAGCTGTGATTGGATCGTTATGAAAAAATGTCAAAAAAGTGTTCATGGTTCGAGACTTTTTAAATTCATAAGATATATGAATATATTTCAGCCACACAAGAAATGATACTCTTGGGAATGACACACATTTTGAAATGGGAAAAAAATTACAAAAAGTTACTAGAATCAATAAAGATTTTTCATGATAATTTGGACAAGCAAAATATTTAAATTTTACTTAGTTTTTTACCTAAGAACAGAAGTTATTGTTCTGGTCAGTCTGATTTAGTGTGCCTTAGCTCTCCAGTCCTCATCATTCTCTTTACTATGACCTCTCTTGGTGTGACCTTCATGTCGTACACCCAGCCAATTCGAGCACAAAAATTGATCACTCGTGTGGTAAAATTTCCTTTTGTACCAAACTCACTGGTTGCGTAATCCTGTGGGAATGTGTGATGATAGTTGTGGAAACCTTCACCGTTAGTTAATGCGCTTACCAACATGTTTTCGGAAGGATTGATGTTGACGTCATAGGGTTTGTTGCCAAACATATGAGCAAAGCTATTGACGCAAAACGTGACGTTGAGAGTGAAGACGTATCTTAAAGCAAAAGCAGTGAAGTAGGACAGCCATAGACTCTCCCTCCAAAGGTAGGGTACAATTGTAGGGATTACCACACATGCTATCAGCGATATTAATCTGTAATGTCTGCAAAAAAATAGCATCGATATATTTAAGGCGCGAATACAGGAAGAAATTTGTAACTCTGTAACTTATCCTGCAACGACGTTGCTACAGAAATTGAATGGAGCATTGTAACAGTGCAATTTAAAAAAATGTTACGAGACAAGTTGCAGCTGTCGTTGCAAAAAGTATAATTCGTTTCTACTTTTGGCAAAGACTGCGTCTCCGTTGTACCTTGTGTAAACACTCTTGCAACCTGTTTCGCAAAGCTGTAGCGAGACAGGTTGCAAAGAAAGTTGCTCTGTGTAATCGCGCCTTTAGTGATTTATTTGGGTTTCTATAGAAAAAGGAAAAACAGAGAACCCTCAAAAAGCCCTTGTCTCAAGAGAGAGATCCAGGAAAATTTGTTCACAGCCATTCTCAATCACACGCGCCCTCTAGCGATTGTTTCTGTCCCAACGAATCAGGTGTGGACGTCAATCACAAGGCGTTTCCATAGCATTGTCGGAAAACACATAGCTATAAAGGCATGTGCCTATAGAATGTCATGGAAACGCTTTGATTGACGTCCACCAAAATCTACTTCGTCGCGACAAAAGCAGTCGCTAGAGGGCGCGTGTGATTGAGAATGGCTGTAAGTGATATCAAGTGAAGTGCAGGAATTGAACCTTTAATAAAGACAATGCACAGAGATACGAGGTTCTCCTCAACCTTGGGTAACAATTAAATATCTTAGTAACTGAAGCCCTTCGCTATGGATTTGATTGATACCTTCTTTGAAACATGACCATTTCATCAGCATATAGATCACTCAAATCAATTCGTTTTCCTTTGGTGATGACATCAGGATGCTTTCGTTGAAGCAACCAGCCAATATGTGAAAAAAACAACCCTCTTTTAGCATTGTGCGGGTCGCCGTCAGTCTCAGAGCATTTGTGATGGACACGGTGATCTCGGCACCACTGAAAGATGTCATTCTGTGCAGCAATACTAGTAAATATCACGAGAATCAATCTAAGTGGCCACTTAGCCTTGTAGGAACGATGAGACCATAGTCTATGAGCTCCCATAGTGATGCCTAAAATGCCCATAGTATGACACATAATCACCCACAACATCGTCAGGATTTTAAGTCTTGGAAAGAGAACAATGCCATAGAGTGCCATCGAGTGCAGGGAAATCATGAATGCGACGTTAGTCCAGAAAATCTGTCGTTTGAATGGCTTTTTCTCTGGCTGTTGGTCATTTTTGCCAGGAGTGGAAGCCTGGTTCTCTTGTTGAGTGGTTTCTTTGGAATCACAAGGTGCCATGATTTGAACCTGCAATGAAATATGAAATAAGTAAGGCCATATGTTAGGGGTATAATCCAACAACAACCGGCGTCGGGACAGGTCATGCTGTGAGCGCCAAAGAAACTATTTTCTTGAAGAAAGGCTGTTGTACAAGGCTAAAATCTTGTTATTCAAAAAGTTTAACTTGTTGGAAGTGGAGGTGACCGATGAAAGTCGAATCAAAGTGTTAACCCAAAGCAAAAATTTTATTCGAAAGTTAGGTTTAGGATTTCATTTGCATATTTCTCATATATTTTCTATCAAAAGCAACATTCTAACACAAATGCAACAAAACATCTTTGTACAATTGGAAATACCACTTCAAACAAGCATTTTATCATAGTACATCAGTCAGTTTCTAACTGTTTAAAAAAGATTTTGAGTGTTAACCCAAAACGAAAATTGGGATCAAAACTCATACGAAAGTCTAGTTTTTGGCGCTTTTTGCCATTATTGCTCATTATTGAAAAACATTTCCTCTTAATATTTTACTACAGCAAAAAGTCACGCAATTTATTACGATGTAACGAGGAAATTGGCCTAATATTTGGTGAAGTAGGCCCATGAACAGGTACTTCAATGTCATTTTGACATTTTTTTCACAGCTTTCCAACCAGCGCCGTATTAGAAACAAAGGGATCAAGCCTTTGCTGGTTCTTAGTGTGAGTCGCTCAACGTTTCCCACGTGGGGAGGCAAACGTTGTGTGACAGACATTAAGCTGGCTTCTCAATCTTATTGAATTTGCGTTTTTCAGTTTTGTGGCCTGTCAAGTTGGATGCGCACGCAACCTTGAGAAAACAGTCTATTGTTTTGTGGTTTTAATTAGTAGTTTGCGGAAAGGTAATACTTTGACCGATGACCTGCGCTGGCGGATTGTCTTTTTTAACGAGAAAATACTCAGTTCCCCACAGTTCCAATCAGTCTAAGATTTCAGATATCCAACCGACAACGTTTTTTGAAATAGGTGTATGTTCCAACGAATTGTATCAGAAGTAGAAAGTATCGAATTACCTTTTGAACTTTTTAAATTCATTTGTGACACTGATTTTTACAAAAGAATAATACAATATTGTCAATATGTTCCTTAAAAAATTTGGGAAGGACTGGTGGCGTAGCGGTGAGAGCGCTCGCAAAACATCGATGCGATCTGAGTTCGAGGCCCGCTGGGCTCGGTGTCTTGTGAGAAGAGTTGTTTGTTGGTTCTCTCCTGTGCTTTGAGGGATTTTCTCCACGTTTTCCGGTTTTCCTCCCTCCACAAAAAGGAGGTTCTTACACAAACACCTATTTCAAAAGACATTGTCATCGCCAAAGGCGATAGGTCATTCCGAGACAGAAACGGTTTCGTCAACTACAAACCACATTGAATCAGTCTCAACACTAAGGTCCATGTTCTTGACGAGAATAAGAAGCAGAAACACAAGTCATTCCAGCTATTCTTGGATCTTGCAATGACCTATATTCTATCTTTTACTCCGACGAAGGACTAGCGTCCGAAACGTCAGTAAGTTTTTTCATCTTTTCACGGTGTATAATTTACCTTTTCATCTCACACTAGTTTTTAGCTAGTTATATCTTTTTATATTCTATCACTTTCATCTCATCCCCTTTAGGCGATGACAACGTTTTTTGAAATAGTAATAATAATAATAAATTAAAATTAGAATAAGTACATGCTTAAAGAGTAAAGATAATATAATAATAAATAATAATAATAATTAATAATATCTTCTTACCTTTTGCAGTAAAAGCTCCTTTCTGCGATCAAAGTCAGTCCCACCTTTTAAATGATGAAATTTGTTAATTGATATTTTTTATAGCTTAGTTGCTTCGAACATTCAAGGTTACCGAAAGTAGTACTTTGAACCTAGTCCGTAGGTCAGTGAGCATGGTTAGGAGAATTTAGATTCTTCGTCGAAACTTTTTTTTCAAAACTCTGGGTAAATATAGTCTAAAGTCAACTAGTTTTCAATCTAGGTTTAAGTTTTAATATCTAAATTAATATCTAAGAAATAAGATTTAATTTATAAATTWAAAAAAAGGATTATTTTGAGATTTACTTTGTAGAGGATTGATTTTCTCTATAGTTTGAGTAAAAGTCACGCTTATGAGTTGATTCATCCATGTATATGATTGGTTAAGATCATGATGCAGTTGGATATGGTTTTACACTTAAACCAATCAGAATCCTCAATGAAAACCCCTAAAAACTGAAACGTCACAAAACTTAAAGGTTCAAAGTCGACATTTCTGACGTATTTTTTCTGAATTTGAGTTAAAAATACATTGTATTTATGCCTCATAAACAATCCTAAATGTAGAAATTTGATCACTCATTTTGTTTTCTTAAATGTTCTATGAGATTCAAGTGTCTTGGCTCCCAGACCATTGATAAGAACGTAAATTCGAAGACGTCTACTAATGATGCCCAAATCACCTGATGTCGCACCATTAAATATTTTAAGCAAATTTGGAAAAATGCCAGTGTTTAAACACGTACTGTCAAATCGAATAATTGGTAGATCTTTGTAAATATATACGCTGTTATCGCTATAGGTGACAGGCGAAAGGGTCATTCCGAGACGGAAATGGTTTGGTCGACTTCAAACAATATTGAATCGTTCTCAACACTAAGGTCCATGTTCTTGAGCTATTTTTGGATCTTCGAATGAGCTATTTCCTATCATTTTTCGCCTACCACCTATTACCCATCGCTTTGGCGATGACAACGTATATTGGAATAGATGTATAAGGCTAGAGTTGTTTTCAAAAACCCGTGAAATGCACTCAAGCATATTTAACACTAATTCACTCTAATTCTTTCTCATTGCGTTTATCATATCGTCTGTGAAAAGAGAGATGAAAAAAAGGGAAACAATAAAGAAAGAAGAAAAGAATAAAAGAAAGAAAATGTGTTTGAAAAATTCCTAAAGCGATAGAGAAATTAATTAATTCATTACTATCTCCTTAATTAATTTTATTGAATCTGATTGGTTGACGGCTTCTCCTATTTTAGCATTTATTGCCCATTTATTGGACAATGTAATATGACAATAGCGCAGCGCACTGATTCTAAAAATAGCTTAAAGATTCGGACAAACATTGCATTCTGTTTAAC